GGTCCTTGTGTCCGAGGGGGCTCATCCTGGAGCTCCACTTGTAGTCGTGCACGGCCTGGAACATGTCGGGCCTCGTTATGGCGAGGTCCCCCGTTGTAACACTCGAGGGAGCGCGAGGCGCAGGGCGCAGAGAGCCCAAGGTGGCCGTTGCCGTGACCGGCCGACCGTGGCCGCCGCGCGCCCTCGTCGGGGTTGAGTGGACGTGAGCAGCCCACCTACCGGCCGCTGGGACACGGTCGTGTGCGTCGCCTCGGCGTCCAGAGGCACCGAGAAGAAGGGCGCCGCGTGCACGATGTACACCCCGGGCACGGCCTGGGGCGGCGCCTTGGGAGGCGGCTTGGCGGCCTTGGGTGCGGCGGAGGCCGGCGCGGGCATGTCCCTGCCCCGGGTGTCGCGGCCCGACGGCGGCACGCCCCGGGTGGCTGCGAGAAGGGCGCGACGGAACATTGAGTCATTCAGTGTATGTGTGTGGGTCCCACAGCGGCCCTGTACTGTGGCTTTCTGGCCAGACTGTACTCACCCACACGTCTGAATCGCCAAACCAAAGTACGGGCCCTATGGGACACCTTGCATAGTGAGCTTGCACGCCACGTACGACGCGCTTGTCCACTCTTTTTTATGGGGGGGTTATTTCAACGAGAGTAAAAAAATGATGCATCATTCGAGTGGCCCTGAAGTGGTCGGGGGCAGACGTCTCGTCGGGGGCTGTAACGGCAACGGCAGCGGGTGGCCGAGTGAGTGCCGCCGGTGACCCTGCTACCCTACTATACCGACAGCGAGCGCGACCCTCGCGCCTGACCTTGCAGGTCAGGTCACCTGGGAGGGGAAGGGGGCAGAACTAGTGCTCGACCAATGCTGCCCCTGCCCCCAGGCCCCGCAGGGGCTGGTCACGGGGCCGTGGGCCGGGGGGACTCCCTGCCGCCGGCCGTCACTGCTAACGTCGGAAGCAAGGCATGGCGATTACCTCGGGTAATTACTGTGGGGCAGGGCGGGGCAGGGTGCGGCGTGTAGGCGGAACTGGGGGGCACTTGTCCACTTAGCGCCCAACCCCCACCTACCCCTACCCTACCCCCATTCAACCCCCACATGAGGCCCAAAGCGGCCCAAAGTAAAGATCTCGAGTAAGATATAATTTGTGAGAGTGGAGGAGGGTAGTTTAAATACTAAACAACTTCCCCCCGCCCCTCCCGATTAGAACGGACCGTAGCGTGCCGTGTGTTAGTTGTGGCAACCTCGTTCGCACCTTGGTTTCCCTCACAGTCTAGGAAGAGTGAGATATTCATCTGCCCTCGTGACAAAACGTTGCTAAAGGGAAACTTGTGCTTGAAAAGGCCAAAGTACGCGAAATATCTCACTCTTAACCGCTGTTATACACCCCGGTCCCGGAGTAGGGGAGGGGGATTTCCAAAGCCCAAATCGCACCCCCACCTCTGACGTCACTGACGCAGTACACGCGCACCTGATCGGTGCTCGTGAACAGGAAGCCCGCGCGTTCTATTCCCTCCGGACCGGTCGTCGGCGAGGGTCAGGATGCATTTAAGGTCCTCAGGGAGGGGCTTTTACGCCGGTCGCGTGCTCCCTACCCCTTCGGGTCCCTATAGGGCCGCGTCACTAGTTCTGGCCTCGCACCCCCTCCCTCCCCCACCCCCATGGGTGAAGTATTCATACTCATCAAAACCACTACTGTGCACACACGAAAACCGTGTTCTTGATTCGAGTACAAAGTGGTGCTCAACTGAATCGATCTTAGTTGGCACTCCTCGAAGTTTTGGACGTTGTTTGCACTCAAGAGAGAGCATGGGGACTGAAACAAGAAACATAGATTTCTCACGAAAGTATATCGAATGGATTTGATTCAAAGCGGGCGACAGGCGCGGTATGCAGGTGGGAAAGGGGGGTGGGCTAACTTCTTTCTGTCGTCTTCATTGAGCCACCTGATATGTAGGCAAGTTGTGCAACAAAACTCCACTATGTTGGGCAACCCACGGTGGCGCACCGTCCTCTCCTGTCAGTCTGACCTCATGAGGTCGTGTTGTTGTTACATATTTTGTCTGGAAGGTATTGATTGATTGATCAATGGTATTGATTCAATTAGTTCCGAAATGCGCTCGGAACGGGTGTATACTTTCCTTGTTCCGAGAACACATTTTTTCCTACGAGCGTCCCGCGCACTCACAGACTCCCCTCCTACCTGCCCCGCCCCGCGCGCCCCTCCGACCATAACACCCATTAAGTAATAAACACTCGGAGCACCGCCAAATATGACGCCGGCTCGCCCGAAGATCGATCTGATCTCGGGACGGGGTCAACAGGACTGTAGGAGTAGGCAAATTAGCACCGCTCACGCACGCACACGCACACACACACACACACACACACACACACACACACACACACACACACCTATACAGACACTGTAATTTAGGGGTGTCTCAAATGGTGTCAGAATTTTCTTTTTTACTCGTCCTCATTAATGTTTCTAATTTTTACTACATTCGGAAAGACTCCAAATTTGAATCGCGACGACGAAGCGTGAATGGCCCGCTAAGCTCTTATTTTTATTATTTGCGTCGATTGTACACTCGATGCTACCGTAAAACCCAGGGTTAGAAAAACATTTGGCTGCCGCCTCACCTTAATGAGGCAATTACTTTGGCTCTTCGTTCGTCCCGACGTTGTTAAATGCTTCCAGCTCTTACTCCACGGGGCTAGCGCCTGCATTCGGTCGGTAGGCTATCCCGCCGGACTGAGGAGTACGGCGGTGTGGCCTATCACCAGGCGCTAGCGCCTGCAATCGGTGGGTAGGCTATCCCGCT